GCCACTGCACTCCAGTCTGGGCGACAGAGTGAGACTCCAACTCAAAAAAAAAAGGGGAGGGGGGGTCAGTGAGCTTCTGGAAAGGTAGCCAGGGACTCGGGGGGTGCCACTTCCATTTGAAGCTTGCAGCTGAGGTCAGGGAGGACTGAGACAGGCTAAGAGGTGGTGCCAAGGCTCGAGTCTCCTTCAGCAATGAGACGAGCCACCCCAGAGCCTGGGGGAGGACAGCGGGCCCAGGACAGACCCTCAGCAGCTCATCTGGAGGTCCCCATTCCAGGTCACCCCTCCCACGCTTCCTCCAGGGGATACCTGTGCGACTACCACTCCCCAGACGTGGAATCTCCCACAGGAAGCCAAACACCATCCCTTCCTGAGCATGTGGTCCCAAGACAAAGGGAGTGTGTGGCTTTGTGGTGGCCGTGTGGCATGGGGGGGCATGAACACCCACTAGTTCACACTGTGAGGCGTAAAACAGGATTTACTGGGGGAATGCATAAGCAGAGCAGTGGTGGGGGCACCAGGCTGTCACCCCCCAGTGGATGGAGGTCATCATGGCCAGCTTGCCTGGGAGGGGGCTGCTTGGTGCTGCCCACCAATCACAGGGAGGACGCGGCCTCATCAGCGAACGGGATCCCCTGGAGTCCCCAGTAGGGTCAGCATGCCCATCCAGGGCCTTTGGATCCGCTCAGCCAGGGCTCCTGAAGGCTGCCCAAAAGGAGAAGGGGACGTACCCCCCGCCTGCCCAACTCTCTGCAGGTTTCAGAGGAGCCCGGCCCACCCAGGACGCCGCTGGTCTCAGCCAGGGGGTGTCTGTCCGGTGCTGGCCTCCCGGTGACATCTGGGCTGGCTCCCATTGCTGGAATGACATCTGCCACAGGACTCGTGGACACGGGGTTTTGTTTAAGTTTGAAACAGCACAGCCAGGAAAGTCCAACCAGGCGGTAGTGGCACCTCTTCTTGGCCAGCTCTGTTAGTTATTGGGGATAACTACACCCTGGCTGACAAGGTGGCCCAGGAAGGCCAGCTGGCACCTGTCCAGGCCCAGCGTGGCTCGCACGGGCCCATGGGGGCAGCTCAGTTTGAAGAAGCAGAAACGTCCTCAGACGTGCCCCAGCTCCAAGGCAATGCTTCACTTGTCACTGCTGAGCTGCGAGGGTCACCGGTGGGAGGGCCTTGGAAAGCCACGTGCTGTGAAGATGACGTGCTGGTGGCTTGGGTTGGCAGGACAAGGAAGACGTGTCTTCATCTTGAGGTGACTCTTCACATGCTTCAAAGGTCAGGAAGGTACCAGCGGCCCCCACCCTGCCCCCCTGCTATCCGCCACTGCAAGCGCCGGCTCCAAGCCCTGTTCTTTGCCTCCGAGACCCTGTGAGGGCATGTGAAGGCCACTGATGCTTTGTAAGGGTGAGAGAAATTTTCTGTCAGGCAACATCTACGTGGAAGGGCAGTGCCTATGTGGACACGAGGCCTTGGGCCGGCAGCGTGCGCCCCTGCTTGCGTCGGGGAGAGACCAACCTCACTGCTCCTCGCCGTCCAGCGTGAGGTCTTTGGTGTTCCTGATCATGACGAAACACACGTTCATTATACAGATTCAGACATGGTGGAAACAGACAACAGGGACAGTGTATGATTCCTGGAATCCTGTCCTGAGATTACCACTGGCCAGATCATTTCTACACACATGTATGCCCGTCACTCAGCTCCTTTATAGCATGCCATTCTTACAACATAGACTTTGAGGACTCCTCCCCCCTTTATTTTTTCAGTAGGAGTCTCACTCTGTCACCCAGGCTGGAGTGCAGTGGCATGCTCATGGCCACCGCAGCCTTAACCTGCTGGGCTCAGGCGATCTTTCCACCTCAGCCTTCCAAGTAGCTGGAACCACAGGTGTATACCACCACATCTGGCTAATTTTTTTATTATAGAGATGAGGTCTCACCCAGTTGCCCAGACTGGTCTTGAACCTGTGGGCTCAGACAATCTTCACCTCTGCCTCCCAAAGTGCTGAGATTACAGGCATGAGCCACCATGCCCGGCAAGTCCCTGCTTTCTACATGAGCATGTTCTGGGGAAAAACACCCAACAATTCTGCAAAGTCTCATCTCCTGGCCTGGGAGTCGCTGGGGCATCAGAGTCAAGAACTGGCTGCCTTTCGGTTGCCAGGAAACACAAAGATCTCCCTAATAACTCTGATGGATGTGGTCACAAACTCTTGAGTACCCTCACTTCTGGAGAAGAAGCCCCATCCCCCCTCCCCTTGGATGTGGGCAGATGCAGTGACTGGCTTTTCACAGAACAAGTGAGTGAGGGTGGTGACGTTGATTAGTAGTCATTGGAACTTCCTTTTGTCACCCAGGCTGGAGTGCAGTGGCACGCTCACAGCCACTGCAGCCTCGACCTGCTGGGCTCTGGTGATCCTTCTGCCTCAGCCTTCCAAGTAGCTGGAACCACAGGCACGCACCACCATGTTCGGCTAATTTTCTTGATTTATTGTAGGGACCAGGTCTCACCAAGTTGCCCAGGCTGGTCTTGAACCCCTGGACTCGGGTTCTTCTCACCTCTGCCTCCCAAAATGCTGGGATTACAGGTGTGATTACAGGTATGAGCCACCACACCTGGCTCTTTTTGTTTTTTAACTGCTTTTTAAAAAATAATTCGAGATGAGATCTATGTTGCTCAGGCTGGTCTCAAACTCCTGGCCTCAAGTGATCTTCCTGCCTTGGTCTCCCAAAGTGCTGAGATCACAGGTGTGAGCCACCACACTTGACCACCATTTGGTTTTTGCAGTAAGAGAAATATGGGTCTCAACTCTTTACTCCTCTGTAATACAATTATGTGACCATGCCCATTATCATGTTCCATATATAACATGGAAAACAGCACAGAAAGGAAAGTCCAACAAAGGTGGTAACGAGGCCTCTGACTTGGTTGGCTGTTAGTTGTTGGGATGACCTTACCCCAGCAACAGGTGGCCAAAGATCAGAAAGGCCACCTGGCACCTGTCCAACATTATATTGTATATAAGATACTGTCGAACAGAAGTGGTGAGAGTTGACATCTTGTCTCGTTCCTGACCTTCGAGGGAAAAGTCTTTCACAATTAAGTATATTAGTTGTGGAGTTTTCATAGATGCTGTTGATCGGGTCGAAGTTATTCCTAGTTTAAATGTTTTTATCATGAAAGGCTGTTGGAGCTTGTCAACTGCTTTTTTGTAGCTATTCAATGATCACGTGGTTTTGTCCTTTAATCTATAGATCTGGTACGCTGGGGTCCCTAAGACCATCCCCAGGTTTGGTGATTTCACTAGAAGGACTCATAGGGCTTAGCATATAATCATATTTCTGGCTAAGATTTGTAACGGTGAAAAGATACAAAGCAAAATTAGCAACAGGAAAAGGACTCTGGGTAGGTCCAGTGGGAACCAGGCACATGCTCTCAAAAGTCCCCTCTCCCTGGACTCAGAGGGTATGTGAAGAGTTGTGACATGTGTGGAGTGTTGTCTCCAGGGAAGCATGCTCGAGCCTAGGAGGCCTGAGGGTTTTATTGGGGGTTGGTCATCTAGGCACATTGTACTTGGCTGACTAACTGCAGTCACCAAAATTCCAGACTTTGGGATGAAAAGCGTTCTGCAAACATCACATGATTCGAACAAACAGAAAAAAGCAACTGTTAACATTTAGGGACAGGATTGTATGGTGTAGGGGATGTTTACCAGTCAAGTTCCCAGCTGCCAGCTAAGGGTCACCTTGCCAGCAGGCCGTCCCAAGGGCTGCAGTCTCAGGCCTGCTCTGCACATACACAGGGCAATGTGTAACTTATGTGTACCTCTAGCTGTTTTTAAAATGTTAAGCCAATCCTGCATCTCTGGGATATATCTCCCTTGTTCATGGTGCACATTCATGTTTTATGTTGCTGGATTCTGTTTGCTGGTATCGAGGACTTTGGCTTCCATATTCCTGGGATATAAGTATACAGTTTTCTTTTCTTGTGATGGCTTTGCTTGGTTATGGTATCAGGGTAATACTGGTCTTTAGAATTGGGACATGTTCCCTCCTTTTCTATTTTTGGGAAGAAATTGTGAAGGATTAGTTTTCTGTTTGTATGTTTGTTTTTTGATAGAGATGCGTTCTATGTTGCCTAGGTTGGTCTTGAACCTGGGCTCAAGCAATCTTCTTGCCTCAGTCTCCCAAAGTGTTGAGCTTATAGGCATGAGCTACCACATCTGGCCCTAGTGTTCATTCTTTAAATGTTTGGTAGAATTCGCAGTGAAATCATCTGCCTGGGCTTTCCTATGTGGGAAATTTAAAAATTACTAATTTATTTTCTTATTGTAGGTCTAGTCAGATTTTCCATTTCTTCTTGAGTCAGTTTTAGTAGCTTATGTCTTCCTGGGAATTTTTCATTTTATCCAATTTGTTGGCATACTATTATTCAAAATATTCCCTTGTAATCCTTTTTTCTTTAAACCATAACATTGGTAGTACTCTCCTGTCTTTCATTCCTGATTCCAGTGTGATTTGGGTCCTCTTCCTTTTTAATTTTTGGAACTTTAGCTAAAGCTAAAGATTTGTCAATTTTTCAATCCTTCCAAAGAACCAACTTTTGGTTGTATTACCTTTCTCTATTATTTTTTATTCTCTGTTTCATTAGTTTCTGCTCTAATCTTTGTTTTTTGTTTTTTTTTTTTTTTGAGTTGGAGTCTCACTCTGTCGCCCAGACTGGAGTGCAGTGGCCGCTACCGGCCACCACAGTCTCGACCTGCTGGGCTCCAGCGATCCTTCTGCCTCAGCCTTCCAAGTAGCTAGAACTATCTGCTCTCATCTTTATTGTTTCCTTTCATTTGCTTGCTTTAGGTTTAGTGTGTTCTTTTTCTAATGTCTTAATATGTAAGTCGAAGTTATTGACTTGAGATTTTTCTTCCTTTTATTTAATTTTATTTTTTGGAGTTGGGTTTCACTCTGTCACCCAGGCTGGAGTACAGTGGCACCATCATGCCTCACTGCAGCCTCAGCCCCCTGGGCTCAGGCGATCCTTCCGTCTCAGCCTTTCAAGTAGCTACCACCATGCTGAGGGTGATTTTTCAATTTTTTTGTAGAGATGAGGTCTTGCTATGTTGCCTAGGATGGTCTCGAACTCCAGGACTCAAACAATCCTTCTGCCTCAGCCTCCCAAAATGCTGGGATTATAGGCGTGAGCCATGACACCTGGCTTCCTTTTTTGATGTAAGTATTTACAGCTATAAATTTTCCTCTAAGCACTGCTTTTGTGTTATCCCATAAGTTTTCTTATGTTGTCTTCACTTTTGTTCATATCAAAGTGTTTTTTAATTTTCTTGTGATATCTATGACTCACTGGTTTTTTTAGAAGCATGTTATTTAACTTTCACATAGTTTTGTATTTCCCAAACTTATTTCTGTAGATTTCTTTATCTTTCCTTTTCTTTTTAAAATTTTTCCTGTGGCCAGGCATGGTGGCTCACACTTTGGGAGACTGAGGTGGGAGGATTGCCTGAGCCCATAGGTTTGAGATCAGTCTGGGCAACTTGGCGAGACCTCATCTCTACAAAAAAATCAAAAAGCTGGGCATGGTGGTGTGTGTCTGCAGTTCCAGCTACTTGGAAGGCTGAGCCAGAAGGATCACCTGGGCCTCCCAGGTTGAGGCTGTGGTGGCCGTGAGTGTGCTACTGCACTCCAGCTTGGGCAACAGAGTGAGACTCTAACTCAAAAAAAACCAAAAAACTTCCTGTTACTGATTTCTAATTTCATTCCATTGTGGTCAGAGAACACAATCTGTATGATTTCAGTCCTTGGAAATGTGTGGAGTATCACTCTGTGGCCCAGCTATGGTCTGTACTGGAGAATGTTCTGCGTTTATTTGAGAAGAACGTTAACTCTGCTGTCTGGTTCTGCTCCCTTGTGGGTCCCTCGCTCCAGCGGAAGGTGGCTGCCATGCTGGGGACACACAAGCAGCCCTAGGGAGGGGCCGAACAGCAAGGAGTCGAGGCCTCCTGCCCACAGTTGAATAAATGAATCACTTTCGAAGCGGCCCCCCACCCCCTCTCAAGCCTCCAGAGGCCCCCAGTCCGGCTTCCGCCTTCTCTTCAACCTCATGAGAGACCCTGAGTCAGAACTACCCAGCCTAGCCACTCCTGCAATCAAGACCCACAAAAGCTGGGAGAGAAAGCAAATATTTGTTGTTGTAAGCCATGGAGTTTTGGGGTAATCCGTGATGGCATTAGAGAACTAATACGATTACCCATAAGTCTGTGGACTTTCAGGAGAACACGTCTTGAAGCACAGTTGAACTTCAGGCAGAAGTTTTACCTTTTCTGAGGGAAAAAAATGGAAAATACGAATTAATATTATTTTACTGTTGAAGCTGACAGGACCAATTACACACACCTCGTTATGATGACCTCAAGACCTTGAGAATTAAGACAACCAGGTAGAGTGACCCTGAATTGGGGAATCATTGGGAATTCTGGGTTTTCTTTATTATTTTTAAAAATTTTTAGTTAGTTTTTTTTTTTAGTCAGAGTCTCACTCTGTTGTTCAAGCTAGAGTGCAGTGGCACAATCATGAGTCACCACAGGGAGGACCTTCTGGGCTCAGGTGATCCTTCCACTCCAGCCTCCTGAGTAGCTGGGACTACAGGCACACACCACCATGCTTGGCTAAGTTTTTTATTTTTTGTAGAGACAAAATTTCACTATGTTGCCAGATTGGTCTCAAACTCCTAGCCTCAAGCGATCCTCCCATCTTGGCCTCCCAAAGTGCTGAGATTACAGGCATGAACCACTGCACCTGGTTTTCTAACACCACAGGCTATCTGTGCCTAGTAAAACAAGCTACTTGAGATCCTGAGACAAAGCCTCCAGCCCTTGTCATCAAAAGAACTGGGGGTCAACTCTCTAACAAAGATGAGCTGTTCTTCCCACACCAAAGTCACTCCACAACTTCCACTTCTAGTGGCTTTCTCACAGAAACCCTTTTTCTTCTTTTTAAGCAGAAATCATGTTTCTTTTGATTGTTATATACAACCTGGATTCACCTGCTTTACACAATGTGGCCCTTAATTTCACATGAATTAATGTGAGACAGATAATGCTTTCTAAAGGCCAGTTTTATATTCTGTTTATGTAAAGGGAACCCATTTTCAATTCAGTCTAATTAATGATTTGCAAAACTCTGCACATGTGTGCAAGAGCCCAGGGGGCACAGGCTCCTCAAAGGGTGCCTGGCCTGGGGCTTTGTCCCAGTGCTGGCGAAGAGGAAGGTTCCCATGGCTCTTCCCGTCCCCATGCCTCCCATCGTTTCTACCTGTGTCCTTCTGTTGGGCCATGCTGGGAAGCCTCTCCCGCTGCCGCAGGGCCTCCAGGCCCACCAGGTCAGGCGCGTGGCTGTGGCTCCGCATCACCATCACACGCTGACCCTGTGTGATGGCCCGGCTGCGGCAGCCCAGCCGAGCATGGTCCCGGCACATCCAGTACACCTTCTCCTCGGTGGCCTTCTCCTTCCTGTAGAGGAAGGACTCGTGCACCAGGAACCTGCCCCCCAGGGAGGTCCTCAGGAACTCCAGGGGCTGGAGGGCTCCTGACGGGGAAGGTGATACGGTGAGTGGGGCCCTAGAGCCCAGGCCTTGGCACAGGGGATGGGGCCCGGGTGTCAGGGACGGAGGGTCTCCTTTATCCCACCAGCCAGCCCCAGCCAGGATCCACGATCCCCCCGGCAGGACCCATGGTGGTCCCTGCCTCCACCCTCCCCAACTCAGGTCCTCCCACTCAGGGCTCGCAGCCCGGCTCTCTGGGACGCTGACCGGCTGACTTGTCCAGGCTCCGGGCTGCCTGGGGAGGCTGGCTGCACCTGAAGCCTCTCCAGAGCCCTTGGACCCCATGCTTGCTTGCGAGTCCCCAGGGCAGAGGCCGGGCTGGGTCATTCTGGGAGGCCCGTGGCTGATCTGGGCTATGCAGGAGTCGCAGGGCTCCCTGTTCACCCACCTCTAGCCATCTGGCAATCACTCAGGCTCTTGAGGACTTTTAAGATGCTGAACTGGAAAGTCAAGCAATGTTGGGGTAGCCAGAGAGACCCACACGAGACCAGGAGCCGTAGGGGACAGAGGTGGGTTCCAAGCACTCCCTGTGGTAGCCCTCCAACTCTTTCCTCTAGCAGTGTGAGTGGGTTTCTAGCCTGACGGCCAACGACCAGCAGCGGGAGCCTGGAGCCCACAGACACGGCCCCCCCTCGGGGTGCACAGTCCAGACGGGCAGACTGTCCCACAGGCAGCCTCCCAGCCCAGCGCCCGCCTGCCCCTCCTGCCTGCACCTGGGCCTTCCCACTGGGCCAGGCTGGGGAACTGCTCCCGCTGCCGTAGAACCTCCAGGCCCCCTAGGTCGGGCGGGTGGCAGTGTCTGCGCATCACCATCACCCGCCAACCCTGCGTGATGGCCCGGCTGCGGCAGCCCATGCGGGCCTGGTCCCGGCAGGTCCAGTACACCTTCTCCCCCGCGGCCTTCTCTCGCCGGTAGAGGAAGGACTCGTACACCAGGAAGGTGCCCCCCAGGGGGGTCCTCAGGAACTCAGGGCCTCCTGGGGAAACAAGAGAGGCAGTCGGGGTCGGGGCCAGGAGTCCGGGCTTGGGAGCAGGGGAGTGAGGGTGTCTTCTCAGAGCCCAGGGTACTGTGGTTCCTGGAGCGAGGCCCCCATGCCTTCATCCCCCCCACGGGGGGTAGCCCTGGAGCCCAGGGCCAGATCCACCATCCCCCAACCCCGCTGGGCCTTCAGCTGCTAGGACTCCCTGTTCCAGGGCCAGGCCAGGCACCCACTTTTTATGAGGCGTGACTGGAGGTGGCGGTACTGCGGTCACTCATCTGTCCTCAGCGTCCGCACAGGCCAGCAGCTAGGGGAATGAGCCCTGGCCCTGGGGACAAAGCAGCTCAGGAGCAGCTCAGGGGCTGGGAGCAGCGAGCAATAAGGCTGCAGAAGGGCTGGACCCCGGATCTGGGCTGGGTGGAGAGCCAACCCCAGGGCGGCGGAGAGGCGGCGGGAGTGGCGTCCATCTTAGTGTTGAGAGGAAGTACGAGGGGGTGGTCATGACAGGGGCCACAGGTGGGGGGAGTTGACAGGAGTGTCGCTGGATGTGAAAGGGCGGCAGAAGCCAGGAAGCCCTACAGGAGGGGGGCAGATAGAGGCAACTGGTTGTAGGACTGCCTCAAAGAGAGGCAGAGAGGGCTGGGCAGGGGGTTGTCGATGGTGAAGCCCAAGAATACCCTGCAGGTTGCAGCAGGAGCCTGGGGACATGGGGACAGAGCCGGCCAGGAGAAAGAGACACCCAGTGGCTGGGACAATGACTAGCCCAAAGACCCAAAGGTGAGTCCTGGGGTTCTGCGGCAGAAACGTCACTTGATACAGTAGCCCCTGCAGTGAAGCCCATGGTCAGCGCCCAAAAGAGCATACAGGAACTTCACCTGGGATGGAGCAGGCCTCGAGGGCCAGGCTCCAGAAAGAAGCTGTGCCCTGAAGACAGCAGAAACCACGGCAGGCCTACGCGGCACCCGGGAAGCAGGCTGCTGCTAGGAGGAGAGGCCGTGCTTCCCTGACAGGGCGGGATGCCAGGGAGGTGCTCATGACTACAGCCAAGCTCAGGACAGTAAACAGAAGTATCAGAAAGAAAAACCGACGAGTCTCAGACAGGACCGCAGAGGCAAACACTCACCTGGGAAGGCTCAACCAGACTGGCAGAAGCAACAGAAAGAAGCGAGCTGTCAAAGAAAGCAGGATAACTCCTCCTCAGAGGACACAGCTCATGGCTTAAAGGGTCCCTCGTGCCCCCAGCACAGCCGGGTATGCCTGGGGTGGAGGAAGCCCTAAACTGCAAGCAAGGCCCAATCCCACACACAGAACGGCCAGCGAAGACGGCAGCGCTGCTCGAGGACGACCCAGCAGCCACGGACAAGGCCTTGCCTGGAGCACCCCGAGCCTGCCAGGCACAGAAGGCCAGAGCACCTCCAGGACGCAAGGTCTCGAAGTGTGATGAGCTCCTGACTGGATCAGGAGGTGACCAGAGCAGGGACTCTCCCCAAGCACAAAGCCATGGAGAAAACTGGGAGAGACAAAGACAGGCCCGGGGCAGGGAGTCTGGCCAAGGGAACCCTGGGTGACGGCTGGGCCCGGCCTCAGCCCCAGGCCTGGCTAGAGCAGGGCTGAGGCTCACAGAGCACTGGCATCAGCAAACTGGAGCCAGGTGACGATCTGATTGAGGCAGGGAAGGACAAGGAGGAAGGAAGAGGTGACAGGGGCACAGAAAGCCAGGCAAACAAAGACAGCAGCTTCTGCCCCGCAGAGAAGACCAGGAGTGGAGCGAGCAGGGACATGGCGCCCAACACATTCCAGCCCGCTATGAACAGAATGACATTTTAAGATGACCACAGAACCGGCCAGTATGTGTGCCAGGGCTGTGGATTGAGCAGAATCCCTACTCTCTCTGGTCGGAAGTTCACAGGTGACAAGGAGATTGAGAAACCAACTGACAGTAGTAGAAGCACATTTCAGGAAACAGGGCAGCAGATGCCCCTGGAAGCAGCAGAAATCACTCAGAGCAGGATCTGTGGGGTGGGGAGCTGGGCGAGGTCCAGAAGGGGCAGCCGAGTATTTTGTGCTGTTACTTCACCACACACAAATGTTACATGGAAATAGCATAAAAAGAGTATCAGAAGGAAATACAGTCACAGCTCTTACGTTTGAGAGAACTTTAGGGTCAAGAAACCCTAAAAGCAACTCAGATGGGTCAAAAACCTCCAGGACTAGGCAGAAACTCTTTAAAGACAGACAAGCGCCTCATGGCCATGGAGGACTGGCAGACTAAAACTGCTCTCTTCCTGGTTAGACGGAAACAGGAACATTCACATGACTGTGACCACAAGAGTCACCACACTGTGCGTTGCAAAGGCTGATGGAGGGACGAGGACGAATGGAGCTGTGACCCTCACTGTGCCCCCTTCAAGACATTATAGGGTCTATGGAGAAGAGCTGGGGGAGAGGGGAATCGGTGGTGTGTTAACATCACCTCCTCAGATTGCTTGAGCCCAGGAGTTTGAGACCAGCCTGGGCAACATAGCAAGACTTTGTCTCTATAAAAAAAATCAAAGAATTAGTCAGGCATGGTGGCACATGCCTGTAGCCTCAGCTACTCAGGAGGCTGAGGCGGAAGAATCGCCTGAGTCCGGGAGGTTGAGGCTGAGATGAGTCATGATTGTGCCACTGCACTCCAGTCTGAGCGACAGAGTGAACCCACTCAAAAAAATAAAAAATTGTTTAAGTCACCTCCTCAGGCGACTTAGACCGCAGGACAGACTCATTCCTTGGAATCTTATCTGTGTACTTACACTGTAACAATGAGAAGCCAACTTCATGTAGTCAACTTCCCCTATTAATTCTATAAACTCTTTAAAAATGGAGGAGAAGGAGGAGGAGGAGGAAGAGGAGGAGGAGGAGGAGGAGCAGCAAGACGGCAGCATGAGTTTTTCCCCTTAGCAGAAATTTCAGGGCAGGTCAGACTGGAAGGGTGAGGCTGGGCTGAGCAGGAGGGTGGGGAGACCCACTCTTAAGAGCAGACTCAGGAGGGCCAAGGAGTGGGAGGCAAGACTGCAGCTCCTTCTAGAATGTTGAACAGAAGGAAGGGGGACATTTGCCACATGTCACTGAGGTCAAGAGAGAAAGGTTGTCCGGGCCTCCTGCCTGCTTCCTGGGCCCAGCTCTCGTCAGCCCCTGGTACCTGGGCTTTCTGGCTGTGCCGGGCTGGGGCGTTTCTCCCGCTGCCGCAGTGCCTCCAGGCCCCCCAGGTCGGGTGGGTGGCAGTGGTCTCGCATCACGGTCACCCGCCGACCCTGTGTGATGGCCCGGCTGCGGCAGCCCATACGGGCCTGGTCCCGGCAGGTCCAGTACACCTTCTCCCCCGCGGCCTTCTCCCGCCTGTAGAGGAAGGACTCATGCACCAAGAAGCTGCCCCCTAGGGGGGTCCTCAGAAACTCCGGGCCTCCTGGGGAAACGGAAGAGGCAGTCAGGAGTGGGGGCAGGTGGGAGATGGAAGGCAGACTGCAGGGAGCAGGAGAGCAGGGGGATGTGATGCTGCCCTCTCCTCCTGGGGCTGGGGAAGTGAGACTCGGGCAGGGCCGGCTACAGGGCAGCCCGTCCTAAAGGAAGAAGACTCACCAGAGTCTGCGTCCCGGTCCTCACTGGGGGGTCCCTCCAGGGCTGGGGGCTGGGCCGGGTCTATGACCTTCGCTCGCTTCCTGGGCCTGGGCCTGGTAAGAGTCAGGGTGCCTGGCCCCCTGTGGTACAACAGACTGTCCACACCTGGGAGCAGCTTGTCCATGTGGCCCCCAGGGCCGTTGGGCGGGGCCCGCATCTCCATAGCTTTCTCCTGTTGCCGCCGGGCCTCCAGGCCCTCCACGTCGGGTAGGTGGCAGTGGCCGCGCATCACAGTCACCCGTTGACCTTGGGTGATGGCCCGGCTGCGGCAGCCATGCAGTGAGTGGTCCCGGCAGGTCCAGTACACCTTGTCCCCCACAGCCTTCTCCCGCTTATAGAGGAAGGACTTGTGGACCAGGAAACTGCCCCCGTAGCATGTTCTCAGGAACTCCAGGGTCCAGGCACGTCCTGGGGAGGGGTCCAGGCGGTCACACCACACAGGGAAAGGGGCCCAGGACTCCAAGGGTGGGGGCTGCAGTAGAGGCTGGGGACTAACACGAGCTTTGCTCCTTCGTGGCTAGAGTTTTCCGTGGCTTCCCCAGCGGATGTGCCCGAAGCCCCCGGGGCCATTCCTACTGATGCCCTCCACCAAGTGACCCAAAGAGGAGTTCCTCTTCCAGTGGTCAGCGAGGCCACCTCGGCTCATGGCTGTTAAACACTGAGTCAAGGTGACACCCGGAAGTGGACAGCTGGGCACTCAGCAGCCCATGTTCTCAGTCACTCCTGGCCATATTTTGATTTTTAGGGTTTGTTTTAAAATCTACTTTTTGAACAACACACAGACATGCTATAAAACTCAGCACCAAAAGATACGCCAGGGAACATGGGTTCTCTTGTCCCCTGCTCTCCCCCAGTACAGCAGTGCCTTGGACTCTTAAATCCTTTCTGGGCCAGGAGGCAGCTGGCTTTCTCGAACCCAGGCCCATTTCCTAGTTATTGGTTATAGAAACAACACCATAAACTCAGCTATCACTTGGTGGGGTGGTGATGGGTCCTTCCCAGACATCAAACCTACTGTCTCCACAGCAATCAAGGTGTCACAGCTGCCTTAGGAAAAGTTGCTGAAACTCCAGAAATTAAGCACATTTTCTGGGGCTACAGGCCACCATCAGGTGAGGCTGGGGCCTAATCCTGGGACCCAAAGTCCGGGACTCTCCCACTCGATGTTCTTCCTGAACAGAGCGAACAGAGATTCACCTGGGAGCCTGTTAAAATTCCGGCCTCCCCCACCCCACCAGATCCTGCTGCCTCAGAAAACACTGGAAGAACCTGGGACACCCCCCTCAAGTCATAGCTGGTTCAGGAGCAGTTCTATTGCAAGGGCTTAATGATTCTTGACATATGTCTAACTATTCTTTTAAAATTTTTAAGTTAAAAAATATAGAGATGGGGTTTTGCTATGTTGCCCAGGCTGGTCTCAAACTCCTGGACTCAATCTTTCCACCTCAGCCTCCCAATGAACTGGGATTACAGGCACAAGTCACCACACCTGGCTGATTATTGGGATGCATTCATATTTTTATTTTTTTATTTTACTATCACTCTGTCACTCAGGCTGGAGTGCAGTGGCATACTCATGGCTATCACAGTCTTGACCTGCTGGGCTCAGGCAATCCTTCTGCCTCAGCCTTCCAAGTAGCTGGAACTACAGGCGCATGCCACCAGGCCCAGCTAATTTTTTTATTTATTGTAGAGACAAGGTCTCACCGTTTTCCAGGCTGGTCTTGAAACTCTGGGCTCAGGCAATCCTCTCACCTTGGTTTCTTAAAGTGCTGGGATTACAGGTGTGAGCCATTGAGCCCAACCTTGACTTCAAGCACATTATAAAACTCAGGTAGGACACTGCTTTTCTCTTGGGCTTAAGGATCCGCCTGTCAAGTGGAGGCAGGGACACTCACCCATCCCAAGCGTCGGGCGTTTCTTGGGTGGCAAGCTCAGCAGTGACAGTGCTCGGGGGCCCTCATATTCCTCTGTGGCCGGCTTGCTCGGTGCCAGCGCGGGGGCGGGCTCCGGCTGCTCAGGGCACGGCCATGGGTCCCCCGCCTCCAGCAGCTCCTCCACCCGGCCTCCAGGGCCCTCGGAAACCCCAGCAACCCCCGCATCCTCCGGCGGGGCCAGGCTGGGCAGCTTCTCCCTCTGGCGCCGGGCCTCCAGGCTCTCCTCATCCGGCGGGTGGCAGTGGCCCCGCATCACGGTGGCCCGCGGGCCTCGGGTGATAGCCCGGCCCCGGCAGCCCAGTTCGGCATGCTGGCGGCACTTCCAGTACACCTTGTCCCCCACAGCCTTCTCCTGCTTGTACAGGAAGGACTCGAGCACCAGGAGGCGGCCCCCGAACGGTGTCTTCAGGAACTCCAGGGGCTTGGGGGCTGTGGGGTGAGGGAGGGCTGGGTGAGCCCACCCAGGGTAAGGCTCGAGGCCGCAGCCACCGACGAGATGTGGGGATTCCTGGAGTGCGGTAAGGCCACCCGTGCACTGCCTCCGCCTCCTCCTGGCTCTGGGGCAAGAATCCCAGACTCTCAAGGCTGGTTTTTATTTGGGGGGGTGCTGGATGTTTCTAAGGAGTTGGAGGAATTCAGCACCTCACTATGGTTCCTGGGAGCGCAGACAGGCTCTGGTACCTGGGAGGTAGTGCATAGCACAGGGGTGATCATGTGATCAGCACATCAGCCAGGGAGAGGGCTGTGATTAGAGACCAGGAGGCTCAGCCAGAAGCAGGGACCAGGGACAGGACAGCCAAGGTCACTACGCCAGAAAAGCGAGCGTGCAGGGCCCTGTCTGAACATGCGGGCCCACAAAGGCGGCTGGGCCAGGACAGAAGGCCCGGCACCTCACCTGTGTCCAGCTTGCTGCATTTCTGCTCAGGGGCCCGGGGGACTGGCTGGACCACCATGGGCTCCTCCACTGGCAGGATCTGCAGTGTGCTGGCAAGGGTGGTGGGACCAGAAATCCCCAGGGACGTGGCACAGTGTACTTCTTGGGGCTTGGAGCCCACCCCATCCCCATCCTGGTTGGAGGCTGTGAGCAGGACCAGTTCGGAGAACTCCTTGGGCTTCCTGGGGGCGGCTGGGACGACATCTGTGCCCGGCTCAGGGGACGGCTCCTGCCCGGCCTTCACGCTCTCACCCTCCTGCTCTCTGGGCTCAGGCAGGGGCATTCCGGGACTGACGGCCTGTTTCCCAGGCCACACTCAGTCCCTGGCGAATAGACTTCTCCTTCTCTCTGGCAAGGAACCCAGGAGTCCTGAGGCTCCGTCGTCCTAAGGAAGGAGGCAAAATCCCAGTCAGTGGAGGAAGCCCTTGGCCTGGAGCTCTAGGAGTAAATCTGGGAGGCATGTTGGGGAGTTGGGGCTGCCTCAGTGCCCCTGGGCTGAGAGGCTGGGGGAAGGCTGAGAGAGTCAGGGACCCCAGGCTGTGCTTCTGCTCTGCCAGTTCCTTTCCCGGCAGCCTTGGGTACCTCAGCCCCTTACAAGCCTCACTTTCCCCATCTGTAAAATGTGCACAATAAACACTCTCCAAGGGGCCATCAGGGAGACTCTTGCTAACTATGAATTTTGACCCCTGGAGCTTCCCATGTGCAGAGCACACACCAAATGTCTTCACAGCTTTTCCAGTCAGCCTCCCAGCTCCTTACTATGAAACAGGCCTTCCTTATTGACCCAGTTTACAGATGAGGACACTGAGGCACCAATACACCTAAGGCTGAAGAGGCAGGAAGTTGAGCCCCGCTGCTTCTGCTCACATGTCTGGGGAAGCTTCACCCAATGTGGCACCTGACTCAGGCCAGTGCGAGCACCTTGTGGACGACAGCACTGGGGCAGGACTTTCTGGGCTCACACAGGCCACCCCAGCTTCAGGAGATGCCAGAGCCCCCTAAGAGCAGCTACCTTGTGCTGGGCTGCTGCTGGCGCTGCCTCCGTTGGGTGAGGACAGGGCTGTGGCGGTGTCTGGAGGATCCCTTGAGGTCACTGTGGGTTCCTTGGCTTCCAGCCTGGAGGAGCAGAAAGGACAGATAACGGGGAGACAGTGCAGGGCTGGGCTGGCCTTTGACAGGGCCTGGGGGTGCTCTGCATCAGCTATCAGTGTGGAGTGGCCTTTTTGTCTTTTGGAGTGACTAGGTGGTAGGTGGTGGTGGGCAGGTTCCCACCTCTCACAGAAGCCTAGAAACAAGCCTGTAGCCCCTGACAGTTTTCACCTTTTCACTGGAATCTGTTGCCCCATCCCAGTTCTCACTGGTGCCCATTTCTGCTCGGAAGTTCCCTGGCCACAGGACGACATTCAGCTTCCAAAGACCTGGTCAGTTCCAGGGTCGCAGCAGGACGATGCAGAAGGGCACCATGTCCTTAACGGCCTCTGCCCAGCCCAGGGTAGCCACGAAGGCCAGGTCCCGGGCAGGACTCAAGGAAATTCGCCACACGGACACACGACCAGGGCGGCCCTGGCTGGCCTGTCCTCCCATGTCATCCCCCAGCCCAGACCCAGCCCCGAGCAAGCCAAGCCTTGTTCCTCTCGCGTGGACCCACCCACCCCGCCCCACAGGGTGACATGAGGTGCCCAGAACCTGGTGGGGGCACTACTGGGGAGGAACCTCCCAGCAGAGCTGCCCCTGCAGGGAAGTTACAGGAAGCTCCGCCTGCACACGCTGATTGGCCCTGGCACATGTCCCTCAACCGGCAGCCCGCCCTCCAGCTGCCACGCTCTGCAGTCTGGGGATGAAAGGGAAAAACAGACGGGAAGGATGCAGCAGGTTCCCTAAACCTGCGCCAGGGTCTCGTTCTCTGGAGTAAGTTCCTGCTGCTCCAGGGCAGGCCAGGCCAGTCCCCCTGGGTTGCCACTCAGCCGGGCCCCTTATGACAGAAGGCCTTTCAGACAACTAGGGCCACCAAAGTGATTCACCTGCTGTCACCAGCATGCAAATTCCTACAGGACACAGCAGTTCTACAGGAGTGGAGCTGGCAGGGGCCCCGCCACACCAACACTCGGTCTCAGACCATGAAATGTGGAGGCCGGGCCTCCCCCAGCCTGACAAGGAAAGCCTCACATCCCCATGGAGCTATACTGAGTCAGGGGTACTGGGTCACGGGAGGTGGCAGGGGTGAGTTCAAGCCTCAGCTAAAACTTCTGCGTAAAAGATTTCCAGGAAGCCGGGCTCGGTGGCTCAGCCTGTAATCCCGCGCCTTTGGGAGGTTGAGGTGAGTGAATTGCCTGAGCCCACGGGTTCGAGACCCGCCTGGGCAGCGAGACCTCATCTCTAAAATAAATTAAAAAATTAGCTGGGCGTAGCAGCGCGTGCCTGTAGTTCCAGCTCCTTGGAAGGCTGAGGCGGAAGGATCGCCGGAGCCTGGCAGGTCGAGGTTGCGGTGGCCGGGAGCGGCCACTGCACTCCAGTCTGGGTGACAGAGTGAGACTCCAACTCAAACAAAAAAAAAAAGATTTCCAGGATCCATGCACCTCAAAGATCCAGAAAAAGGCCCATGGCAAAAAAAGACCCCGGCCACCTTTTGTGGAAAGGGGTGGGTCCCCACAACAAACTGGAATTTGGATCTAGAAAGCCCTTGGGGTGTGAGAACCCTCCCATGAACATTCCCAGGCTCCTTTGCAATGGCTTTGTCTCCAACCCCTTGGATCTGGACTGGCCTTGAAGGCTTGCTGTGACCCACAGAGTGGCAGAAGCACAGGGTTCTCGTCCCCAAACCCTACCCTCATGGGCCTCAACCTCGAGTCGGTAGAAAGGATGCCACATGCCAGACGAGGAGGAAATCACCTTGTACCCCCAGCCTAACAGCTCCTCAGCTGTGAGCAGACACAAGAGGGGGCCGGGGAAACCAGCAGAGGACTGGGCCGGGTGCCCCACAGAACCCGGTCAAACGAACTATGTCTGGGGGTCATTTGCTATGCAGCAATAACTGACACACTTGACAAGTGATTCAGCCTAGTGGGCTCTGGCTTTTTGATGGATGGGCTGGAACTAATGGCTACAAATATGACATAAGAGTGCTTGGAGAGCGGGTGCTGTGGCTCACGCCTATCATCTCAGCTCTTTAGGAGGCTGAGGTGGGAAGATTGCTTGAGTCCAGCAGTTTGAGTCCAGCAGTTTGAGACCAGCCTAGGCAACATAGCAAGATCTCATCTCTACCCCCCCCAAAAAAATGTATTTGGAATTCCAGAATCCATGCTACACAAACGCTAAGTCCCTCATATGGTTGCACTTAAAGGGCCTGTAACCCAAGGAGGGGGATAGAAATATTATGTATAAGGGAGAGTAAGTGAGAGTCACATATTTGAAAACATTGGTAACATAAAATAAGCCAGACACGAAAGGACACACACTTCTAACTCCACTTCCATGAGGTGCCTGGAGGAGTCAAATTCATGGAGACAGAAAGTAGGATGGGGGAGGAGGGTGCCTGGGGTGGGGGGTCAGTGTTTAATGGGGACAGAGCTTCAGTCTGGGAAGACAAAGACGTTCTGGAGACGATGGTGGTGACGCCTGCACAACAATGCAAATGTGCTTAATGCCACTGAACTGTCCACTTAAAGGCAGTAAGACAGCCCATTTTAGGTCATGTGTCTCTTAGCACACACACCCCCTCTGCTACAGACAGACACGCCCTGTGTAAATTCCTAGCATCACCAGTGAGCGGGGTTCTCCACACAGCACAGATTTCTGAATAACCAGTTATCCTTCTATGATTGGAATTTTATCCTTTTTATCTGACTCACAATGTGTCCACGCAGGATGGCCATCTCTAAAGGCTCTCTCCCTAGTCGCAGTCGAGGGATGGAGCACACACGTTCTGGCCTGCTTTGAAGGATGGGTGCATCCGCCCACCCTGCCCTTCCCCGTCTGCTCCTGCTCCCCCCGCCTCCAGTCTCCAGAGCTCTCATCTCTGCTGTTGTATTTCCATTTGGCCCATCAAGTCTCTTGTGTCCTAAGAAAAGGCTCACAAAAGCTCCTTGCCTCAGCCACCCAGCTCTGCCAGAACAGCCCTGCCCCTTCCTGCTCAAGGCCACACAGGTCACCAAGCAGAGGCATTGGCTTGGCAGTCCCACCACCCACACTCTCCTTCCCAGAACCTGCTCTGGCCTGACGTGGCCTTCAAGGAGGCTCCTCCACATGAGAGATGTGGTAGAGCCGTGCAGTGGAATGTGTCTTGGCAAATAACCAGGAGGAGGCTCTGACCCGGCTTCCACATGGGGAACCTCGGAAACATCATGCTCAGTAAAAGCAGCCAGCCACGAAAGACCAAGTACTGCATGATTCCATTTCTATAGAATGTCTAGAATAGACCCATCCATGGAGGCAGACAGCAGATTAACAGTTGCCTAGGGCTGGGCGGGACTGGGAGGTCAGGATTGATGAGGGGTGGGGGCTGGGGCTTCTTTCTAGGGTGATGACAATGTTCTGTGGTGATGATAGCACAACCCTGTGAACACATTTGAAACAGTGAATTGTACTTTAGATGGAGGAACTGAAACTCAGCAAAGTTGTTAAAAAGCAATTCTTGCAGGTATCACTCACATCCTTGCGATCAATTGGATGAAAAACTGTTTTCTGGACCAGAAACAGCTCTATTGAACAGCGGAAGCTTCTTGTTGCTGGGTTTGGTTTCCTCATCAAAGGAGAGGTGTGGCATGGATCATACATTGTGAAGTTTTCTCGATTCTAGTATCACAGTCTAAACACTATACAGATCTGTTTTCAAGATGTTTATTTTCTTTCTTTCTTTCTTTCTGTTTTAGAGTCAGGGCCTCCCTCTGTTGACCAGGTGGAGTTCAGTGGCACGATCGTGACTCACCAGCCTCCAACTCCTGGGCTCAAGTGATCCTCCTGCCTCAGCCTCCCGAGTAGCTAGAACTACAGCCACGTGCCACCATACCCAGCCAACTTTTTGATTTTCTGTAGGGACGAGGTCTCACTATGTTACCCTGGTTGGTCTCAAACTCCTGGGCTCAAGTGATCCTCCTGCCTCAACCTCTCAAAGTGCTGGGATGACAGGTGTTAGCCACTGCGCCCATCCAATTTTCAAAATGTTATGAACATACTAGTAAATCATCCATAATTCTGCACCCAAATGCAAAACTATTTCTGTTCTTGCATTAGTTCCCTTAACACACTTTATTTTCTGTGGTACACACGTTGTGTCAAATACACTGTTTACTACTGTATTCCTCTCAAGAGGAGGAAG